CGATTGTCACGCCAGCCTTGCTCGCTCGACCGATCGGCAGTATAACAGATCCCACTCAAGGGTGTGGCCAGGAAATGACCGGCGGTTGGCTGTCGGAGAAGAAAGCGCCTCTGAGACAGACCCGCGGGGGCGCGAAGGACGACGCGGCGCCCCGAGCCGGAATCGCCGCTGCCCGGACGCGCGTCATGTTTTGCACCACGCCAGGGGACATTCGCGTTCCTCCTATGTCAGGGGTTCTACAACAGATTCTTGTTCCTTGCCACTGTTGTTTTTTAGAGGGAGTACTTTTCATTTGGGGGGGGGGGGGGGCGATCGGAAAGTGAGGGCATATGGTTCAACAGAGTAACGGCTTAGCAATGCACACACTCCTTTCTCAGCTAAAACGGGCTGGAAATAGCACACCTACTTAAAATAGATTCAGTCCCAATACATCAGACTGCAACACGCCGTAACTCTTCGACCACTAACGTGTCCGTTCCCAGCCACCTTTTGAATAACCTGCTCGGTGGCGGTTGCAGTCTTCCCACGCCAGACTTCCCTGCCGTAGTTGTGGGAGGAATCTCCTCCCAAAGGGTAAAGGCGAGGCTCTCAAGGAAATCACGATTTACGCACATCGTGCGTGAGTGAAGCAATATAGCTGTCCAGGTAGCACCAACAGGCAAGGACCTGAATGAAAGGTGATGTCACATGCACTGTTATGCTGGACACCTACCGAACCAAAACATGCTTTTAGGGGGCCACAACAGTGCCAATTTTTCACCAGTCGCGGAGAAGAAATTTCAGTTCCATTGTTATGAATTGTTCCGGCCCCAGTGAGATACCAAGGGTTCATTCTGCCGTTTTGATTTATTACCCGAATGCTATTACTGCGTTAGAACACTGATTTGGGTCTATCATTCCGCTTATCTGATCCTGTTCAGAATAGCTGTTACAAATGCGCTTGGCATATTGAAGAAAGTCTTGTGTTTGATCTGGGGAAATCATGATTTGATACAAGTACGTGGCTGTAAAATGCCGGAAATGATCATGCAAACGTCCTATCTGTGTCAAAACCCTATAGAGATGCGTGACGGCTCATTTCATATCCCCGTGGTAATTGCTTTCAAGCCCAGCAGATTTTGTCTGTTTTTTAAACGTTAGAAATTATATGACCTGGAGTAGATATCCAACCACTGTATTAAGTCGAAAACGTTCCCTTCAAGGGGTGCCCTTAACCTAATCCTAGGGACGTTTCTCATTCGTCCTCCGAGGAGAGAGCCTCAGAGGCCCCTGATAAAATTTTGAGAATTATGCAACTTACGGCCACGAAGGGAGAACGGCATTAACGTCAGCCTGCATGAGATTTGTGTATCATCTTTTACGAAATATTAGTATAGGAGGAGTTTTGCTCTGGTAAAAGTACTCTTATTTTGGTGCGACAGCACGTCATGTACGATCAAGATATGAACGTGAAATTTGCGTACTCTCTTTTAAGGAATATCAGTATGGGAGGATTCTTACGGTTAGAAAAGTACTCTAATATTGATGCGGCAACATGTGATGTACGAGGAAGCTATGAAGAGGGTCTCTGAGACGTCAAAACAAATCTTGTGAGGCTCCGTCGGGATCATATTCTACAAATGAACGGACAGAACGGGCTCCTTCCATGGGAAAATTCACCCTAAAAGTTGTGCCGACATATTCCCCTCTCGCTTCCCCTTTCGGTTGTAGTTCTAGGACCGCTGAGGGAGAACACGCGGCTGTCATCTGTGAAGGGTCCGGAGGGACTGATCAGGGGCCGTCTGACTAGTCCGAAGTCTGTATGTTCAGAAAACACCCTAACCAGATCGGAATGCTCCCATTTGACTGGTCTGAGCTAACTGCCGAGTTAACTCGGTCTAGCTGGCGCCCACATTGTAGCGGTTAAGCTGCGCGTCTGGGGAACAGAAGCATGGGTTCGATTCCCCACGGTGTCTGCTTGTCTTGCCAGGATGAGAAGCAGGCGACACCATGTAGCCTGAACATCTGAGTGCATCATCAAACCCCAAAGGCACACAACTGTATAAAGTCGCACTACTCATGCAACCAGATGTTTGGCTCGACCTCATATATTGTTTTTTAATGAACGCGAGGCACGTCGTCACGCCCCTTTTCAGGAGCGTCCACGACTGCGTTCGCCCACATTAGCGCCTAGGCGTCGTAATGCAATCGGGATTCGAGTTCGTCCCGTCCAAAAATACCATCAAGACACCCCCACCCCCTCTTCCCACGGACCCGAGCGGCTGATGAGAGCAGCCGGACGGCTCAGTTCTACCCCCTCTGCTCATGAGGCCACTGCAAATATTTTCGTAATAACTAATGCAGTTTAAAACTAGCGAATGCTTTGCGCCTTCTGGCCGCCGAATGGCGCTTGGTCCGTTCCAGGTTGGTCCATGAACTGGTCTCCACTGGGGCGTTCCTTCTTCACGTTTGAGGCGATGGCTGGTGCATTCTAATTGTCTGTCTCGTGGCGATCGGCGGCCCTGCTGGCGCAGCAGTCCGTGGTGCCGGCGGCCCTTGCACCGACTAGCAGCCGTCAGACGCATCCTGCTGGTCGAATCCAGCCGACGCCTGTCAGGGGTGCAGTCTAATTCTTTTCCCGACCCGAATGGCCGAGCACGGGTATTGGATTCTTGACCTCGAAGGCGATTTCGGGCGGCTACAGATGTAAAGCCCGCTTTCAATTTGAAGCGCAAGACTTTACGACAATGGGAAATTGGAACGCAATTTGACATCGCTTCAGCATCAAGTGAGCACACCGTCGAGAATACAACGTCGGTTTTTCGTAATGAGTGAAGTGCTGACGGTGAATGCTAAACATCGTAGGACTCAGTTTTTTTAACACGCATCTGAAAATCAGCAGGTACATGTATATGTACACTGAATGTAAAGCGTGCATTCCATTACCAAGCACAGCAGTCAGCAGTATGTGGGAAATAGCATTATTCTTTAATTGTCCGCGACCGAAAACGGTCTGGAAATATCAGCTATCAATTCCCCACTGCTCCCGAACACATCGAGGCAACATCCGTCGGAGACGGTCTGGAAAGGTCAGCTATCGATTCCCCACTGCTCCCGAACACGTCGAGGGCAACATCCATCGGACACGGTCTGGAAAGATCAGCTATCGATTCTCCACTGCTCTCGAACACATCGAGGCAACATCCATCGGAAACGGTCTGGAAAGATCAGCTATCAATTCCTCGCTGCACCCAAACATGTCAAGGCAACATGCATCCTTGTGTGCAATGTAAAGCTGATCAGTATTAAGCTATCGAGCTTTTACTGACTGAGCACTGTTGAGCCTATTCAATACTGGAGTTTATACCCATAGCCGTGATGATGGCTCGCCAAATACAGGTGTGTTAAGTTATGGCTTTTTGAGTTTGTTTTATCGACAGCAGATCCTTTGGAGACTGTTCATATCTTTTGATAAATACCGTACACTGATCAACACAGTCTTAAACTCATAGAAATGGAAAAAAACTAAGCCGTAAAGCTCACTATATTTGACAGACATAGCCTCTGCAGGTGACTTTAAAGTTTTTTTTTTGGGGGGGGACCATATTACATAGTCCAAAACCTAATACGATTCCGGAACGTGGAACGTTATGAGAACAAGCATACGCCAACATTGTACCGGCAGTGTCTGAGGGTCCACAGTGAGGATCATGCGCCAATGTCGGGTCGAAACATGTGGGACGAGTGTTCAGTGTAACTGCACAGTGACATCACGAGATATGTCGATATGCGGACAGGACAGATTGTCCCGTTTTGCCCCCATAGACGTCCCACGGTTTTGATTTTTGTTAAGCTTTGAGTTACACTCTATGTGTCACCATAAACCACCAGTTTTCAAACTGACCTGAAGAGGCCACGTCTGCCGGTAGCAAACTTTGCGGCTTGCTTTTGAATTTATTTTAGTTTGAGACTGCAGCCCACAGCGTACGGTATATTTAATTTGCTTTGACAACCAAGTGCTTCCAAAATGCATGCAACGAAAGGTATGGTACTTGATACCCCACAAAGGCACAGTGTTCATATCTGGTATTCGAGTAACCGATAATCTGGCAAAAGGCTTATGGGCTTAGACCGATTAAATGCGTCACACGAAGAAATTGTGTTTGAACAAAAGAATACGGGAATGGATCCTGACATCAGATCCTTGAGTCCTGGAGGTAAGATTTTCGAAGTGTCCAACAATCATTTTACAATGCTAACAGACTATCTGGCATCAGGGATCTCTTTTCATGCTCTGCCCGTGGATATCCCGGATCTTGATCTTGTCTGGAAATGTGTTTGAATATATTTCAGTTCTAGGAAATTAGTGGAAGGAAATTAACATGACCTCCTTACGATAACAAGATACTTAATATTCGTTACAGGGACAGGGACAGTTACGCTTCACATTTTAAGATATTGAATCAAGCATCAGATATGATGAAATAAGCTCCCTTACAAACACCGGCATACTTTCAAGTGGAAAGGAATGTTTTAGACAGTGCAGTTTCTCTGTTCAGTAGACATGCTCCTCAATACATCATTGTTTGATTACGTCATCGTACTTTGCACAGCGTCGGTTAAGAGCCAATAGACAATGTCTGAAAATCGCGCTCACGAGCGCCAGCTATGAACGACTCTACGGCTATATTTTTATTGGCCTTGATCGTCGCATGGCTAATTGAATGACAGGATTTGAATGACATTAATGTGGCGTTATGGATGCTCGGGTGACCTTAAAATAGTCTCCCCGAAAAAGCCCGCACGTCTTCTCGGGCGTATAGCTCAGAAACTTGAGAGGTTTAGTTCTTTAGAAGGGGAAAGCTGTGAAGTGGACAAATGGATATTCCGCGATGGCTAGTTCAGTTCAAAGCTCGATACAAATGTTGAACACCCCCTGTAAGTGAGTTGTATATTCAATAGTGTTTCGGTCACAGACGTTGGTCACAGAATCGAAAAGTTCAAGTATAGAGCGGACATTAAATGCTAGCCAGCGCTGACATCGTTTTTACCCCAGCACACACATGGTCAAATGGCTCACGCTTCCTTTACTTTGACCGAACAGACTACAATAAATCAAGATGTTGACCATGATTTGACTTCTGGATCACGAATCAGGGGTCGGTGTCGTGTGGCTTCTCGAGAAGGCATGCAACATCGACTGGATCAACGACGCCGTGAAAAACAACAGCAGCGGGATCATCATCATCAACGTAAAAACATTGACCTCAACATCAGCAGGAACACCATGAGCACGACCGAGATCGAGACCTGGTCGGCTTTCTTACGTTACCTCATATGGATGAAACTTTGTGTGTAAAGATAAGATCGGCTGCCACAATCAGTGTTAAATTTTCGTATAGCTTGACAAAACCAGAATGCTTTTAAACGCAATATAGTTTAGTCGGCTTTCTCGCAACCGGTATGCCCATCCGGTAAATATTTGGTAATACATGCATGTCGGGTTTGAAAGATAATTTTTTAACGTCTGGTGTTGTGTATTGGATGACGTGTTTAAGGCGAGGGTAGTGGCGAAAGTGTATCGTATATTGGTGAATCAAAAAGACACAGTCGGCTACCGTTTAACGACAATGTCCTAGGCGCAAAAAATCTCCTGAGCCCGTAATTGGTGATGACGTTTTTTTCTGTACACCGATGATGAGATGCGGCACAATAAGTATCCCATGTCTGCTTAAATTACGCAAAAAAAAAACAAGATCCCCCATCGCCGAATATGGGAAATTATCAAAATGCTCTACCTGAAACAATCCCCTACTTAACAGAGACATTTCATCGTGTAGAGTTATTTGGTTTTATCTATGCAAGGCTAGTGCAATTTGTTGCGTGTGATTTACAGTGTTTTGTTCGGTTAGTGTGAAAAATGGGCGCCATTTGATCACGTGTATGCTGGGAAAAGCGTTGTCGGAACTGGCTAGCACACGATGTCCGCTCTATATTTTGACTTTGATTCCGTGGGCAAAGCTCGTGACCGAAAATTCATTAAGAATACCATTTTTGTAACGAATATCACTTTTGCAATTATCGCAATGTCATCTAAATCTCCCTTAATAATTAGCATGCGTTACATTGCACGGGAGCTTTACCATCTCAAGGCTATCTTCCAGCACCCTGGATCTTTTGAAACTTTAATTACAGGATTCTTGCAGATTTAATATGTGTTATCAGGATCCTAGCACATGTCTGTGTCGAAATACCTCGCAGAGCAGCCGGCTTTCCACTTTTCAGTGCGCATACCATTGCAATCGAAACCATGCATGGACAGTATGGCCTAATATGTAATTGACACTCAGAACAGGCGCACGGAGGTTTCTACCCAGGTTTTCCAAATCTTGTTATGCTCCTCCAGATGGTTCGGGATGCACACAAAATACATTAGTTGCATTGGTTGCATTCGCATTCTGGTTGCACCGATCCCCTATCCCGGGAGAGGGCTATTGTGATAAGTCTGCAACTGCAATGCGTGTTGTCTATGGTCACACTGTAGCGTTCAGGGTATATTTGGCTGCGTTAGGCCGAGGTATATGCGTGCTTAAGCTGTGTGGCTGCTGAACTCCAGTTAACGGTAATTGGCAGCTGACGTGATGGTGATGACTCACGGGCGGCAACGCCTTTGCAGGCAGCAAGAAAGCGAGCTCATAGGCAAAGGTTGTTCCAAGTGTGGTATGCTGAATAATTTTCATATTTTGTATATTGTTGTGCCATCTAGCTTTACCAGACCTACAGAGCCATCTTGCCTGAAATTTCACAAGAATATGTTGTCTACCCCGGTACAGATTGGTCTTGCCCGCTCTGCCCTGCAACCGACTACCCGTGTCCGCCTTACCCCTGTGCTGACTGCCCTGGTCCGCCCTGCCGCGGTACAGACTGCCCGTGCCTGATCAACCCCGGAACTGACTACCCGTGTCCGCTCTACCCCGACATTGACTACCCGTGTCCGCTCTGCCGCGGTACGGACTGCCCGTGCCCGATCAACCCCGGAACTGACTACTCGTGTCCGCTCTGCCCCGACATTGACTACCGTGTCCGCTCTGCCTCTACATTGACTTCCGTGTCCGCTCTGCCCCTACATTAACTGTCCGCGTCCGCTCTGCCTCTACATTGACTGTCAGTGTCCGCTCTGTCCCTACATAGACTGTCCGCGTCCGCTCTGCCCCTACATTGACTGTCAGTGTCCGCTCTGTCCCTACATTGACTGTCCGTGTCCGTTTTGTCCCGGCACTGACTGCCCTCATGGCCGGCTCGTGCGGCGGCAGGTGGGCTGGATGAAGTCGGACACACGCACCATCCTTACCGTGTACGACCTGGTGGTGACCAACAACCCGCGCATCAGCATCAGCCACGACCTGCAGCACACCTGGAGCATCCACATACGGCAGCTGAAGAAGTCCGACCACGGCTGCTACATGTGCCAGCTCAACACCAAACCGATGCGCAGCCAGATGGGCTGCGTCGACGTGCAAGGTCAGTCAGGTCACCATCCAGCTCCCAGGGTCAGCCAATAAACCAGCCAGCTGCCGGGATCAATCAGTAAACCAGCCAGTAAACCAGTCAGGTCACCATCCAGCTCCCAGGGTCAGCCAATAAACCAGCTAACTGGCGGAATCAGTCAGTAAACCAGCCAGTAAACCGGTCAGGTCACCATCCAGCTCCCGGGGTCAGTCAGTAAACCAACTAGCTGGCGGAATCACTCAGTAAACCATCCATCTTGTCAGGATCAGTCGTTAACCAGCCAGCTGTTCAGGCCAGTCAACAACTCACCACGGCCTACGCACGGCGTCAGCAGCTCACCATGGCCTACTCCTTACCGCTCAGCTTCCATGGCCAACTAGCTCACGTTGTTTTTAGCCATGCGGCCCTCAATTGCCCTCAGTAGATTGATCTCGGTTCAAGTTGACGGACACAGAATCGCTCGGTGGTGGTACTAAATGCGTTACTATCACCGATTTTTCGGGAAAACGTATGGCTTAAGGGTCATGCACAAGCTGTCTTCACTAATTCATGTCATTGTTTTTATTGTTGTTTGTTCGGGTTTTATCCCGCGCTGACTACGAGGGTCATTCCTATCACATCCCATCGCGTGTAAGACAATCGCGAATCAGACGTTAGCAAACCAGATTATATGGTTGGAATATGTTGTTGCGGTGCAGTACAAAGATGCGTTTATGCACAACCAGCTTATTTAATTTCAATGGTATCTTTGGGAACTATCACATTTTCGTCTTGTACATTGGTTGGACAACACTGGACAACACATTGGTCATGTGCTGTCCAGTATTGTTCAACACTTCATGGTCAACGCCTTGGTCATGTTTCAGCTGATCAACGTAAACAGCTATGACAAATTTCTGAGCACTGATCACGAACATAGCGCTTAAAATTGCTGAATGACTCTAACGTTTCAAGATAAGTGGATGGAGGAGGAGCGGCAACATGGGCTTGACGCTGAACATTATGGAAAGGAACATGTCACATGCCTCGCGGCTCGGGCTAAATGGATCAACCATTTGGTACAGCAAATCTTCCGGCATGCTCCAAATATTCTTCCAAACTTTCTGGTACCAGGACGTCCACATTAAAACCGTGATTTTCAAGTCCCTCTTCGAAAGGGGGAGGGTCACTGGCCACATGGTCGCCCCGGTCAGGTGATGTGTCTCGTACTGGCCACATGGTCGCCCCGGTTAGGGAATGTGTCTCGTACTGGCCACATGGTCGCCCCGGTTAGGGGATATGTCTCGTACTGGCCACATGGTCGCCCCGGTTAGGGAATGTGGTCTCGTACTGGCCACATGGTCGCCCCGGTTAGGCAATGTGTCTCGTACTGGCCACATGGTCACCCGGTTAGGGAATATGTCTCGTACTGGCCACATGTCGCCCGGTTAGGGAATGTGTCTCGTACTGGCCACATGGTCGCCCCCGGTCAGGTGGTGATGTGTCTCGTACTGGCCACATGGTCACCCCGGTCAGGTGATGTGTCTCGTACTGGCCACATGGTCGCCCCGGTTAGGGAATGTGTCTCGTACTGGCCACATGGTCACCCCGGTTAGGGAATGTGTCTCGTACTGGCCACATGGTCGCCCCGGTTAGGGAATGTGTCTCGTACTGGCCACATGGTCGCCCCGGTTAGGGAATGTGTCTCGTACTGGCCACATGGTCGCCCCGGTTAGGGAATGTGTCTCGTACTGGCCACATGGTCACCCCGGTTAGGGAATGTGTCTCGTACTGGCCACATGGTCGCCCCGGTTAGGGAATGTGTCTCGTACTGGCCACATGGTCGCCCCGGTTAGGGGATATGTCTCGTGTGTACTCCCATAATTAACGGCGTGTGGGAGGGATGTGTCACGTGGTTCGGTGCTGGGCGCGCGTGAAGCGACGAACTGGTGTGTCAAGATATGAGAGGGAGTTTTGTAAACATAGGTGACGGTCAGTGTTTTAATAGTTTAGCATAGAAGTGAGGCTGGAATTGATCTGCCCAGACCGTGGGGGGGCACTCGCGCCCGGCGTGGGTGGGCATGGTGTTACAGACCGGTGACGTGCGCTTCAGCGCGGCGGCACGCTCGTTAGCCGGCGCCGAGTATATTTTGATTTTGTCGTTGAAGGTGGCCATGTGGAGACGCAGCGGCTCGTCATGCGGCCCTCGCCGGTCCCGTGTCGCGGCCTGGCGCGATTTACTGGCCACACCTGCATATTCCCGAAGGTCTCCTTTGGCTATGGCGCTAGGCTGTGGGCTAGCTGGACGTTCGTTTTGTTCCCTTGGTTCTTTTTAATTGCTCGGGGCGGCCGGACCCTTGCCGAGCTCCATTCAACGCGCCCGCGCGGATCTCATCACGCGCGCTACCTTTTCCCTTTACGTTATCGCTTGTCCGGCCCGATTTATTAACTGACATGGCCATAGCCATACTGATATGACACATTAAATTGCATGACATTTGTGCGCGTGCATTTTGGTTTTCTGTTTGTTTTGTTTTTTAGTTTTGATTGTCTTGTTCAAGCGGAGCACTTGCTTTGGAATCGACGGAGCCAGCTCCCGCCGGACAGTCAGGCTTTCGTCCGATACGTAAGATGCCGTCCTTTCTCGGAGATCGAATCATGTATGAACCATAACCGAAGGATGATAGACATGGAACGCGCTCGAGCGGCACGAGCTGACTACGGCGGGGCTGAGGAGCCAGACGACCACGGTCCTGATTTTACACAGATGTATGTTTTTGGGTAGCACGACCCGAACACGCAGTCTTGCTCTCTCTTTTCAGCTAAAAGACTGTCAGCTCGTTTCGCTGTCTCTTACTCGACTTCAGGCGCGACGGCATAAAGAGGCAAAAGTCATTCGTGGCCAAGGACCAATTGGGACTGTCCGGGGTGCAGGATTACGCACGGCTGTTACTGGGCCTATCCGTTGTTTAGAATACCTTGGTAGAGAACGGAACACAGCCTATTCTCTCCCGACGTGGTGTACGCCAGGCCTTGTGGGCTCTTGATGGCGGGATGTTCGGGAGAGATAAAGGTCCCGCTGCCGACGCTGACGCTCATGAGCGACAAGGAACGGAGAGGACGGACAGGATCGTCAGGCCGAGTCCCCGGAGCGCGCCGGCGCGGACACCGAAGCACGTGAACGCAGGTCACGCCGGGCGCTCGCTGTCTGCCGAGGGGCTGCACCATCCCAGCGGAGCGCTGTCTACCCCGAGACCTCTAAGCGACGCGCCGTAGAGCAGCGCCTTGCAAATCTCACTCCGGCAGGCGGGAGGCAATGGCGCAGAAGCGCCGGAGGCGGCTTCTCCGTGCTGGACGAAGCGCTGCTCAAGGCGCGTGCGAGGCAGCGGAAAGCTGCGAACAGTGGGCGTGGCCAAAGGAATGGTGGGCCGCCCAAGCGTGGACGAGACGTGGGGAGCGTCGTCCGAATAGGGAGCCTGGAGGGCAGCCGAGGGGGCAAGTCGTCGTCCAGCTTCTGACAGCCGAGGGGGCCAGTCGTCGTCCAGCTTCGGACAGCTGATGCCGGCCCGTATCTGCATCAGTGCCAGGCTTCGGACAGCTGATGCCGGCCCGTATCTGCATCAGTGCCAGGCTGATAAAGTAACTTGATGTGTTTTAAATAGCGCATGCACGTGGTTTCACTGGGTGTTTGAAACCCGTCAATAAAAGTTTACTTAGGTCAACGAGGATTCGCACAGACGGGCCAGTTATAATGCTAAGACTCTGTATAAAACGGGGGGGGGGGGGGGGCGCTGTCAGCTGTGTGCGAGCCAAGAATGGGTGGGGTGAGTGGTACCAGCGGATGTCTATGCTTTGGATAGTGTGGTGGGGTGCCGAATACATGAAGTGTGTGAATTGGCTCAGGCCGAAGGGCTCCCAACGTTGTTATTCAGCGGGCCCTTGCCAATACAATTCGTCGATTGCGTGGGATCCCTGCCAAATTGGGCATACTGTCAGAGCATCTGGCTTCTCTTTTGCCCCGTTTAAATATTACGGTCAGCTGAAAAGTGGAGGTGGGGCACTGTGGTTAAGGGCGCACAGCCATGCACGGTGAGACAGCCGTTCATGGTGCCTGACCATCCCGCCAATGCCCCGGTCATCCACTTCATCCTAGCTCTGTGGTTCACATGGGTGTGTGTTGGCTTTGGGTGAACTGGAGTCACAACGTGCCAAGTCGTGCGCTAACATCATCTGGCTCGTATGCTGACCATTGGGCCCGTCAGTGTAAATTCGTTCTTATGGGGAGGCGCGACAGCAGCAGCCAGCGGCGCACAAACATCCACCGGCGGCCCAGCAGCGGAGCAGCGTACGCACACCCCACCCCAGGAATCCATCCCCCCCCCCTCCACACCAATTCATTGGTGTTTTCCGCTAAGCCGTATTTTACTTAGTTTGGAAACGGCAAGGAGGGTTGCATCATCCCCCCCCCCCCCCCCATTAATTTGCGTTGACAAACGGCGAATCAGCGCGAGGATCAACTTTCAATATATGACACTATCCCAAAACATTAAACAAACATTTGTGTGGGCATATGGCAGCCCGTGTCGCTGGGTCTTGGTAACAGGCCCTTTGCCGCACTAGTTGTACAACATAATGCGTCTTCAGAACGTAAGCGCCACACGCTAACAGATAGTGTTTTTTAGGGAGCAGGCCAACTTATTGGACGAGTCCAACCTAGTCAGTTTAGTCCAATGTAGTCTATCATTAAGAGCAGCTCTCCCGAAATCCGTGTCAATAGGCTCGAGTATTCATTTTGGGTATCCGCTACTTCGTTAGAAATGTAAGCGGGGCCGCGTATTTATCACTGACATTTTTCTCCATTTGCTTTGCCTTTCTCCAGACGTTGACCCTGTGTCTTGCAATGCAATATTTGACCGAAATGCCTGTATTACAAACATCGTGTCAGGGCTTGACCACGCAGTTCGGTCACTATATATATATATATATATATATATATATATATATATATATATATATATTTACAAGTCTGATAT